CTGCCAATGAAGATCAAATTTGCTATTGCAAAACCCTCATTTAACACACCCTTCCACGAGAAGCGCGCGCTGAGGAACAAAAGAAAGCTTCCCGCGTGCAACATCCACTCTCCGATTGGCTCAAGCCAACAGGAAGGGGATGGATTTCTCCAAGGTGATAAATGTGAGAACGCAGGTCCGCCCTCTCTCTTCTTCTGAACTTTCCAGCGCTCAACATGTAAACCTCACGGGACTCTGATCCAACCATGGTCTTTCCTTTTGTTCGTCTAAAAGTTTCATCTTTTCCTCAAGTGGACTACCAAGTTCATCTTCCAGGAAAGGAAGTGGACTTTGCCGAACTATCTCCTCGGGTAACGTCACCTCAAAGACTCTCAGCCTTTCAAACACTGGCGCTAAATGCCGACGAACGCCACGTGACTCCCCACGGAACAAAGCAGCCATGAACGAGCCGGGACGGGCCGCGCCAACATGCGCGGCCGCGCTTGCCCGCGCGCTTCACGTGACGCACGCGCGCCGGACCGGCGCACCTCTAGCCGACACGTGGCCCGAACGGGTCGAGCAACGAGCCCACGACTCACACAGACCACATGTGCCTTGCAAGTATACCTTCTTTTAGAGCTTCTAAGAAGCATTAAGAAGATGTTTTTGGGGTGTCAAGAAAGGTTAACTGACTGTTTTGATGAACGTAACTCTCTCTCTCTCTTACAACTCACTCTCTCTCTCACTCTCTCTCTCAAACTCACTTAACTTGCGCGTATCCATTGTCTAAACGCTCTGCGTCGTCTTAGTTTGTGTTTTAATGTTTGTAAATACATGTATCATTGTAACGTAGTGAATGCTTAAGTAGGAACTTTATTAAATACAAAATATGCTTACCTTGACTGATTGTCTTGCTCATGATACGGGTCAATGAAATGTCGATTTAAAGCTACACGCTTTACAGAACTATAAATACCTAAGAGGGTATTCGGTTATATAGCGGGGAAGGCAGATTCTAGTGGCCACAGAATTTGTTTTCACAAGCTATATAACTTTAATTGAGCTAATTGATTTTACCTGTCTTGTAAAACGTGGTCCTTGCAATCAATAACAATTAATTTTGTGGTGGATTGCGGGGATGCACATGTATGCATATGGGTAAAATTAATAAATTAAACATGTAAGACCGGTCTGATCCAAATCTGTATGAATAATTATTAATTATCAATTATTAATTATGATAGCAAATTCCCTCTGATCAGAACCGACCCAGAATCTTTACATAAAATGGTGGAGGATGCGGGCATTTCAAAACTTGTTTATGAGCAATCAATTTCAAGCCTAATGTGTAATATTGTTATTTAATATGGTTTATGTTAATATTAATATTACACACGCGCGCATCGGAGTGAACGCTTTGCGAACTCACGATATGACTGATCTGGGCACGAAAGCCGCCTCAGTCAAGCACATTTACACAAGCTGCTAAATGTTCAAACATTTCAGTCACTGTTAATTGTTAAAATAAACTGCAGTTTCCATAGTATTAAACTTGTTCTGGCACAGATGGAAGAGAAACCTCTGCGCACAAACAACATTTTTAATAATAATAACTCTCTGAATGAACGATAATCTTCTGAAAGAGTCGAAGACAAGATCGGTAAAACGATGCTCTTTTACTGTTCTTAAAAGGCCTTATATTATAATCGTTAGAGTAACGATAAGCTCCTGGTTGAAAAAACATTGACTTAGCTACTCAATGTATAAAACCGCCAAGCATATTATCATAAGTGCTATTTGATATATGCCTGTTGGAGCAGGAAACAGACGAGTAATTCCTGTTTTCCTTTGCACAATGCAGCGAAGAAAACCTGCGAACGTGTTTTAAACAAATATAGCACCAAAAAAAAATCCCAAACTGAAAACATTCTTATCATTAATACTAGTTGTGATAAATGTTATTTGGAGTTTAGGAAACAGACGAGTAATTCCTGTTTTCCTTTGCACAATGCAGCGAAGAAAACCTGCGAACGTGTTTTAAACAAATATAGCACCAAAAAAAAATCCCAAACTGAAAACATTCTTATCATTAATACTAGTTGTGATAAATGTTATTTGGAGTTTAGAAAACA